AAAAATCCAGGGTGGGTAATGAAGAAAGACTTAATGAAGGAAGCCCAGCCGGGGTGGCTCAGTGGTTGAGTGTCGACCTGTGAACCAGGAGGTCATGGTTTGATTCCCCATCAGGGCTGTGGGCTCGATCCCCAGTGTGGGGCGTGCAGAAGGCAGCCGATCGATGATTCTCTGTCATCATTGATGTTTCTGTCTCTCTCCCTCTCCCTTCCTCTCTGAAATCAATAAAAACATATTTAAAAAAAAAAAAGAAGAAGACAGCGAAGGAGAAGGTCAATGAAAATGGCCAGCGAGGCGGGAGGAAGAGCAGGAGAAAGGTGTCTTGGGAGCCAGGGGGGAGTGACGTCTGTGAGGAAGGCCGCTGGGCGGTCACCATGAGCTCGGAGAAGCCCCTGCTCAGCTTGGTCCCACGCGGTCCTCACCATCCGGGTGGAGACGCACTGCCTCCCGGGTACGAGGGACAGGTAACGCTTCTTGTTTAGTTATTGCTGGAAGCAAGTCACGCTCGGCATTTGTCCTAAACGTGAAAGTCGCTCGGATGGGAGAAATCCAGGGACTCCCGCATCAGGCCACCGCGCCAGCCCAGCCTGATTTCCCGGGAGCCCCGTCTAGCCCGCCTCCTCCCCACGCCCGCAGCTCTGGCTGCTGGGATGCCACTATCTTCAACTCCAACTCAGCATTCATTGGGCCCTGGGGCCCAACGGAGACACTTTTTAAAATGCTGCCTGTCCTTGCCCTCTTCTGACACCACGATGGTCAAATCTCTCACCCGCTCCTTTTCGTTTAGCAACTGCATCCGGCGGGGACGGCAGTGCGAAGGGCAACCATCCTCATCCTCCCTAGTGCCAGTGACTTTTCAAATGACTGTGGGCAGGAAACACCGAACGAAGAACAAAATCCAGCCGCCAGATAGAAATCTCCATCCGACCGCCCGTGCGGCGGCAAGGGGACCGTGCCAGGCCGCACACACCCGTCAGGCCGGTTGACAATCGTGGAACAACCGCTCTGTCTTAAGACAAATAACAGTAACAACAGCGGCCGCCATTCACGGGCTGCGCACTGCACGCCGGGCAGGCAGCCAAGCGCTGTTCGGGCCGTGCCTCCTTTAATTCTCCCGAGTACCAGGAGGTGGGAGGTATCATCACCCTCGTCTTCTGGACGAAGAAAGCAAGTCTCAGAGTTCCCCACGGGACGGCCCAAGTGGTGAGAGGAAGAGCTGGCTCGAGAATAAGAGAACCGCCTCTGTGCCCTGAGTGTGCGAGAAGGGCCTGGGCCGTGGGGTCGGGGGTCAGACGCAGGAGTGGCCCAAGGAGGGAGGGAGAGTCAGCACCTGCACCTCACAGCTCAGGCTAGAAACCTCGGGCCGCTCTCGATTCCTTTTGCTCACTCTCCCCACAACTGCTTCATCACCAAAAACTGTCCCACCCCCAACGTGTGTCTTAAACCTGTCGGCTTCTCTCCACCATCCCGACAACCACCCTGGCCAAAGCCGCCAGCATCTCCCGGGCAGCCCCCCAGCTGGGCCCTGAGCATCGCCTCCTGCCTCTCACAACCCCCTTCCCGCTGGAGTCAGGGGTCTCGCCTGCTCAGAACCTTTTCATGGCTCCCGAGTAAATCCCACCTTCTTTCCATGGTTCCCAAGGCCTTCCACCGTGGCCTGGCCTTCCTCCGTGGCCTGGCCTTCCTCCCTTTCTAACCACCTCTCTCAGGAGAGCTGCTGATGCCCGCCCAGGCAGCTCAGAGCCGGCTCACAGGAAACAGTCATGTGCTGATGAAACGAAGGCGAGAATGAGGGGGTGGGTGAATCAGAAAGCTTCCCCGAGCCCAGCCAGCGTAGCTCAGTGCTTGAGCACCCACCTAGGAACCAGGAAGGCACGTTTGCTTCCCAGGCAGGGCACATGCCCAGGTTGTGGGCTCAAACCCCCATGTAGGGTGTGCAGGAGGCAGTTGACCAATGATTCTCTCTCATCATTGATGTTTCTATCTCTCCATTCACTCCTCTCTGAAACCAATAAAAATGTATCTTTAGATAAAAGCTTTCCAGAGGCAGCGTGTTTGAGACGAGCTTTAAAGTGGGGTGGGTTTCTCAGGTGGAAGGACAAGAGGTGTGAGGTGGAAAAATCAGGTGTTCTGGATCCAGACGAGGACCTGGAGGACTTCCCCTGGGAGGTGACATGAGCAGGCCTGGAGGCAGGTCGGTACAAAGTAGGGGTTCTCCGAGTCTAGTGCACCTTGTAAGCCCCTAGAAACCTTGTTACAACAGGTTGTTGGGCCCCACTTGCAGAGGGTTAGCGTCTGGGAAGTTGCATTTCTGACAAGTTTTGAGGTGGTGCTGCTGCTGGTCCAGGGACCACACTTTGAGAACCACAGGTGCAAGGCCTGCTGAGGAAGCCTCCGTGTGGAGGGCCAGGGCGGTGAGCAGTTTGAGCCGACAGAGGCCGGTGGTCAGCCTGCCCTTTCCCCTTCCCGCACCACCCCTCTCAGAACTAATGGGAGCCTGCCATGACCTCTGACCCCCCTGCTCCTGGTCCTCAACCGTTCTCCTCGGCTGCATTTATGCTTTGGAGGGGTCTCCTGTTTCTCACTCCAGTGAGACTTTGGTGACTTTTAAAATACTGCTGAGTAGCTCAATTGGTTGGAGCATCATCCAGATACATCAAGGTCGCTGGGGGGGTCAGGGCACATAGAAGAATCAACCAATGAATACATGAGTAAATGGAACAACAAATTCTCTCTCTCTCTCTCTCTCTCTCTCTCTCTCTCTCTCTCTCTCAAATAAATAAATAAAAATAAAACATGCTGCTGAGGAGATCGGCCCCAAACCACCTAATCTCACACTGCAATTCGCACTATTGCTGCCGTGGCAAAGTGTCTGGTTTTAACAGGAGGCCTGGCATTACGTCATGTCGCCTTGAGGGTAGGATTTCTGGCTCTATATTGGGCAGAAGGAGGGGGAGGGGGAGGAGAAGGCCTCCTCTGCTAGCCTTCCCAGGCCCCATGCGCAGGCTGCCAGCCTGCCCCTGTGCTGTGGTTTGGTTTGGTTTGGTTTGGTTTGGTTTGGTTTGGTTTGATTTGGTCAGCATTTTCATATCCATCAGGGAAGACACGTCGTTATCTTCATAATGTAGCCCAGCTAGGAACCTGTAGCCCTGGCTGCTCTACGTCACAGGAGGAAGACAGAAAGCAATCCTCCACAGCAGTCTCTCTGGATTCTGAGGTGCCTTTCAGTTTCCAAAGCTGATGACAAAATATGCAATCATATTGACCTGGTTCGGCATTCTGCCCCTGCCACTCTCCAGCCACGTGATTTGGGGCAACTTACTTAAGCTCTCTGAGCCTCAGCTTCCTTATCTATATATAAGATGGGTGTGCTGAAAATCCACTTCAGAGGGGTGGCAGGGTGTTTAGCAAAGTCATGAATGTTAAGTATTTAATGGAATGTGGGGCTCAGTCGGTGAGTGTTTCACAATCAGCAATCCAGGCATAAAACAGCTTGCCAATTGCCCTGGTGTAAATATTCCCACCATGGCTGATATCAGGCTAACAACATGCTGTCACTGGATGAAGGGTTGAGCACACCCTTATATATGCAGAGATGACAGTAACACCTAGTAAAATAATTAGGAAGCAGTGAGATTTTATGACCTTTGCATTTTGAGTATTTATCACCTGTGTTTTTGAAATAATGTATTTAGTTGTAAGTTCACACAATTAAAATTTTCATGACGGCCGTGTTTCACAACCAGCTCACAAAACTCCTGGAATATTTACTATCTGCTCTCACTACCAGCCAGTTCCACCAGGCCATGGGCCAGGCACTTCCCTTTCCTCCTCCTTCCCTATCCTCAGCCCCAGCGAGGATTTCATGAAGCTTTCCCAGGTAGAAACAAAGATGTTCCCTGTCCCACTGCAGGCTTCAAGCTTTGCTTTTGGACTTGGCCCCATCCCAGTCCTCAGCCCAGGCTCAACCTCAGCCAAGGCCCAGCCCTCACCACGCTGCCTGCCTGGCCCTTCCTACTGCTGGGATGGCAGTGCCACTGCTAACACCAGAGAGGACGTAGCCCCTGCTGGGCTGGGCGCCTGCAGGAGAACCATGAAGGGCCCTCTGTGGCTGCATGGTGGACTGCGGGTCATTTCAGGATCCCGTCCGCGAAGGGGATGGGGAACCCAGCCAGCCAGCTGCACTCTGGCAAGTCAGAGCCTATAATTAGCCTCCACTTGAGGCCCGAATAAGCCCCTGGTTGGTACTAATCAACAGTAAAGCAGGAAGGCTGTGAACAAGTCTCCCGTGGAGTGATCTTTTTGCTCCAAAAATCCAACTCTTAAGCGCTTTAAAAACATCCAGATTCTGCCCTGACCGGTTTGGCTCAGTGGATAGAGGGTCGGCCTGCGGACTCAAGGGTCCCAGGTTCGATTCCGGTCAAGGGCATGTACCTTGGTTGCGGGCATATACTCAGTAGGGGGTGTGCAGGAGGCAGCTGATTGATGATTCTCTCTCATCATTGATGTTTCTATCTCTCCATCCACTCCTCTCTGAAATCAATAAGAATATATCTTTAGATAAAAGCTACCAGAGGCAGCCGTGTTTGAGACGAGCTTTAGGTCTCTGTCCCTCTCCCTTCCTCGCTGTAAAAAATCAATAAAATATATTTAAAAAAACAAACAAAAAAAACACATCCAGATCCTGCCCCTGGCCGCGTGGCTGGGTTGGTTGGAGGGTTGTCCCGAACACCAACTGGTTGCGGGCTTGATTCCCGATAGGGGCACATGCAGGCGGCAACCGGTGGGTGTTTCTCCACCACATCGATATTTCTCTCCCCCGTCCTTTTTCTCCAAAATCAATAAAAACAAGTCTTGAGGTGACGATAAGAAAAGAAAAAATACACCCTGGTTCTGAGCTTTATCCTTCGCCCCCCTTTTCCAAGAGGGACACTGAGGTGCCCAGAGTCCCTGTGCCTGGCAGGAGTCTCTGTGACCTTGCTCTGCTGTGACTGTTCCAGGTGGGTGAGGCTGTCTTGGAAAACGCCCGGCTCCTGCTGCGGACAGAGAACATCCAGGCGGGTGCGGATGCCTTTAAAGACAGGTAATGCTTTGCCACAGGGGGGAGCCCCCCCAACCACCACCACCCGCCCCCCGTTACCTCCAGACTCTTGGGGACTCGGGTAATGCTGTCTGGAGTCTGCAGCTTTCTCCTCCGGCCACATGGAAGGCTGGGGTGGGGAAACGGTCCGGGGAGAATCCAGAGCTGGGGAGAAGGCCATGGACAGAAAGGAGTGACATGGGGAGACATTGGCAAAGATGCTGGGTAGTTTTTAGAAAGAAGGCCCTGTGTCAACCAGAGATGGTAGGAGCTCAGAGTGGGCGCTTTCAGACTCCCGTGAGTGTGTGTGTGTGTGTGTGTGTGTGTACATGTGTGAGCATGTGTGTCATTGAATGGCAGCCAAGATGGTCAGGCCCAAACCCTCCTTATAGACACAAACGTGGCCCCAAGGGCTCAGAGAGTTTGCTGAATGGACCACATCCCAGAGGGACCAGGCTCCCTGGAGAGGTGAGCAAAGCAGGGCTCCGGAGGCCCCAGGGGGACTCTGCCAACCTGGAGCAGCAGGGACCACGCCCAGTCACAGCGGTGGGTTTTCATTTCGCTGGAAGGACAGGACTTGTTCCCAAAAGGAGGAAGTGATGATAGGAACACAATCCTTCACCCTGGCCGGTTTGGCTCAATGAATGGAGCATCGGCCTGCAGACTGAAGGATCCCAGGTTCGATTCCGGTCAAGAGCATGTGACTTGGTTGCAGGCTCAATCCTCGGCTCTGGTTGGGAGGCAACCAACTGATGTGTGTCTCTCTCACATCCATGTTTCTCTGTTTATCTCCCCCGCTGTCTTCCATTCTCTAAAACTCAATGGGAAAATATCCTCGGGTGAGGCTTAACAAAAACAAAAGAAGAATACAATCTTCATAAAGAATACACTTGGATAGAAAAGTTAATCCTACACATAAAACACTAGAAAAATGCTTTAGAAACCGTCTCCCAAGTGCCAATCCAAGATGCAGGTTCGCCCTGAGGGAGGCCTCTGATGGATGCCACCGGGCTCCGTCCTGCATTCTTTCATTTACTACTTTTAACTGCAAAGTGCCTGGAAGCAGGTGTGGCCAAACGGCGAAGATACAAACCAGGAGGGGGGTGAAGGGTAGAGTGACAGAACCAGGGTTCAAGATGATCCCAACACATTGGAACAATGGCCCAAGGCCACTGAAAGAGAATAAATATGAGCTCCTACTTTGCAGCTCCAATACCAGGTGTCCCGGGGAGGACCGGGAAGCTGGGCTTAAAGCAGTTCTTGAGAAAAATGCTCAGGGGGAAACCCAATATTAGTCAGCAGCAAATACAGCTGGTCACGATCAAACAAACAAACATACCAGCCAACAAAAACCCACAAAGCAAATCTTAGGGTCCACGCTGAAGAGCGTTAAAGGGATTGAACAAAGGGGCAGACAGTCCCATGGGACTCTGGAGTTTTGCATTCTGCATCACATTTTAAGAAGAGGGTAAGACCAATTAGAGCATTTATAATCATCCCACAGATACGTCTGGAGTCTGGAGCTGGGTGCTGAGGATACAAAGAGGGAAAGGTCATAGCCCAGTGATGGCGAACCTATGACACACATGTCAGAGGTGACATGCGAACTCATTTTTTTGGTTGATTTTTCTTTGTTAAATGGCATTTAAATATATAAAATAAATATAAAAAATATAAGTCTTTGTTTTACTATGGTTGCAAATATCAAAAAATTTCTATATGTGACACGGCCCCAGAGTTAAGTTAGGGTTTTTCAAAATGCTGACACGCCCGCGTGAGCTCAAAAGGTTCGCCATCACTGTCATAGCCCCTGCCCTCCATGATGAGGGATGTGGAAACCAATTTATGTCAAGAATAGAGGAAGGAACTGGGAAGGTATAACCTGAGGAACAAAAGGCTTGGAGAGGTGGGCGGTGGGGAGGGGAAATGAGAGAGTAACAGAAGAGACAGCCTCTACTAGTAAATACTTATGGGATTGCCAGAAGGAAAAATTAGACTGATTTTGGTTGTTCCAAAGGGTGGAACCCAGTACTTGGCAGATTCGTATAAGAATGGAGATTTAGCCCTGACTGGTTTGGCTCAGTGGACAGAGCATCGTCCTGAGGACTGAAGGGTTCCAGATTCGATTCCGGTCAAGGGCATGTATGTTGGTTGGGGGCACATCCCCGGGGGGGAGGGGGTGTACAGGAGGCAGCTGATTGATGTTTCTCTCTCATCAATGTTTCTAACTCTCTATCCCTCTCCCTTCCTCTCTGTAAAAATCAATAAAATATAAAAAAGAATGGAGATTTAAGCTCTCGGCGCGGGGGATTTACAATAAGTAGAACTGTCCAAAAATGGAATGTTGGCCTTGAGTGGTGATGAGTTGCCTGTCGCCGGAAGTATTCGAGCAGAGGCTACGTGATCACTTAGTAAAAATGCCATCAAGGGACTGTCACTGGGTAGGAGTTAGAATAGTTGAATGCTAAAGCCCCTTTAAAATTCCAAGACACTAAGATGCTTTCTGGAATGAGGAGTGTGAGATTTCTCCTTTCCGTGAGTGGGTTAAGGTAAGCTGTGAACGTTGGCTGAGCGGCACAGCTGGGGAGAAGGCCATGGAAGGAAAGGAGTGACATGGGGAGACATTGGCAAAGATGCTGGGTAGTTTTTAGACAGAAGGCCCTGTGTCAACCAGAGATGGGAAGAGCTCAGAGTGGGCGCTTTCAGACTCCCGTGAGTGTGTGTGTTCACGTGTGTGAGCATGTGTGTCACTGAATAAGTTGTGAGTTTGACAGCTCTGGGTATTGCACCTCTAAATCCAGCTTTCCCATTTCTCTTGAGGAGAAACAGCATACCCTCCCCACTCAGCAGTGACGGAAGGAGCTGAGCAGCAGCGCCCCTTTAGGTGAAATACAAACCGTCCCCTCTGCTGCCCAGACCTGGCCCTGGTCCCTCACCTACACAGGCCACTTGGCCCCTGGAGACATTTGAGTTGGCAGCCATGGTCCTGAAATTCCATGTGGGCTCTTTGGAGATAGAAACCACACTCTTCATTTTGGGGTCATTGGTACATAGCTCAGTACCTAGCAGACTCTCGGTTACAGTTGCTAAAGGATCCTCAGGTGGGGAGGGTGATGACGGTGCCTGACCCCTGAACTCCTGAACTCACCCTAGAGGCCCATGCTTCCAGTGCCCCTTGAGGCAGGCCCCGCGTTAAGCCAGGTTATCAGAAGCTGCTGGAAAAGTGATATCTAACATTCATTGTAAACTAGCACACAATTGGCCTGTTGGTGACATTCATAATCTGACTAGTGGCCCAGTGCATGGGTTGTGCACATGGAAAGGAAATTAATTAGAAGAAATATTTTAATATCGCTGTTCGCCCTTTCTCTATAATAGAAGTGTCAACCAAATTCACAATCGACAATGACAGACCGAAACACACACATGCGACTGGTGCCAGCGAGAGCTTTATATGTATCGCACATGCACGAGTCAACTTAGTCTTTTATAGATATAGAATAAACTTGCTTAATTAGACCTGCTTTCTGATTTTGCTAAACTTTTTCCAGCCCAGTGAAGCACCCCAACTTCTCTTTCAGGTAATTGTCAGCAACACAGCAGTACATATCCACACAAAGCAGATTATTATTATAGATCACACAGGGAGAACAAAGGGTAAAATATTTAACTGCAGCAGTGTTTGACTATATTCTGCGCAGTGAGAAAACCTAAAGTCATTTTCAAAGTCCACCATTTCTTACTTCTTTTCAGTTGGGTCAAGTTTCTAAACTTTTAAATCTCTGTTTTCTGGCTAATGAAAAGAAAATAGGTTTCCACCATGTCTCCTATCTACCTACTCGAGGACTTCAGTGAGGATCAAATGAGATGAGGCACGGAAAAACGCTTCACAAACATTTAGTTAAACTGTAAAATGTTTCCACCTGGCTATAAAGCAAGTCAGGTTTCTGGGCTGAAGAAATTCCAAGGAGGCTAGTTGCTAGGGAGAGGATGCCAGGTGTTGCTACGTGATGTCATTACCTGGCGCCCACAGTGAGCTTTTCGGGCTAGGCTGGGCTGTGGGCTGCATTTTGCGCCATGAGGTCTCGGCAACTTCGGCTGCGATTTGGTGGGCTCTCATTACAGAGTGGTGGTGGGGCCTGTGTCCCACTTGGAGGAAGCCGAGTGTTGATTTCTCGGCACCAGATTCATGGTACCATTTATTTTTAAATGGCCAGTGTGGGTCATGGCAGTTCCTGCATTGAGCGTCTGCCCCCTGGTGGTCAGTGCACATCATAGCTACCGGTCAGACGGACACTTAGCCTTTTATATATATATAGATAGATTATTTTCTCTTTTCGGTCGCCTAGCTATGCTGATTAAGTTCCTTTATCTGCAGATATGAAAATGAGCAGCCATTTCGAAAGGCCGTGGAAGAGGAAATTAACTCTCTCTATAAAGTCATCGATGAAGCTAATTTGACAACAATGGATCTGGAAAGTCAAATAGAAAGCCTGAAAGAAGAGCTTGGCTTTCTGTCAAGGAGCTATGAAGAGGTAGGTGGGGCTGGGCTGACGCTGGGTTGGCTATACTCACCTGTCTGGCCCAGCTTCAAAACACAGGTGATGGGCCCTGGCTGGTGTGCTCAGTGGGTTGGGCATTGTCCCATGCACCAAAAGGTTGCTGGTTCAATTCCAGTCAGGGCACATGAAGGGGTTGCGGGCTTGACCCCCAGTGGGCGGGGGGAGGGAAGGGAGGTGCCCGAGGGAAGGGGGTATAGGAGGCAGCTAATCAATGTTCTGCTCTCACATCAATGTTTTTCTCTCTCCCTCTCCCTTCCTCTCTCTCTCTCTAAAAATCAATAAAAATAATAATACTAAAAGAAAACATAGGTGATGGTAGCTCACCTGGGCCTCTCCATGTCACTTGCCCAGGGCTGGTAAGATGCTTACAGTCCCAATGTAGGGGTCAGGCTAGCAAGATGTCTCATACTCAAAAGGCTTCAGGACCAGGTTGCTCTGAGAACTGGGGGAGGCAGCAGGTCCAAGCACTAGCAAGGGATGGCATCAGTGTTGAATTGAGGGCGCGTCCCATACCTCAAGGTGTTCAACTTCAGAACTTTGTCTTCACTACACAGGACACACAGAAGAACTCTGAGCCAGGCTGTGGTTTGCACACACGCGTTAGTGGAATTAGGTCAGATCCCTGAGTGTCAGGACGGAGGGGACCTCCCCTGGCGGCGTGGTCCGGCCCCACACTGGTCCTAGACCACCTGCCTCGTGCCCCTGTCTGACCTGAGGCCTAAAGTGCTTGCAGTTGAAAAGGTGAAAACCCACTTAACACTCTCTTGTCAGGAAGCTCCCTCTTCTCTCCGACCTTAAGCAAACCAGGAACCAGGCCCACTTCCTCCTGCTTCTTGGCACTGAGTTTTCCACACTCCCTGACAGTAAGAGAGTCCACAGTTATCCTCAGAGCCCTTCAGCCTACTCTGACTTTGTGAAATGCTGCCTACTCTGTGTCGTTACTTAGCTAGTTATTTGGCATTTTGCTTGGGCCTGGGCTTGTGAAACCAGCTGAGAAATGCATCCTGGGAAAAGAGAATACAGCCCCTGTGCTGGGAAGAGGAGCAGGGACTCCGCCAGTGGCTGTGAAGCGCCACGTTTGGCTTTCGCGGAATGAGAAGCAAAGTGTTGCCCACAGCCTGGCCGGTGTGGCTCAGTTGGTTGAGCATCACCCTGTGCACCAAAAGATCGCTGGTTCCATTCCCAGTCAGGGCACATGCCCGAGTTATAGGTTTGATTCCTGGTCAGAATGCATCCGGAGGCAGCCAATCAATGATTCTCTCTCACATTGATGTTTCTCTATCTCTCTCCCTCTCCCTTCCTCTCTCTCTAAAATCAATAAAAAAATATATTAAAAAGAAAAAAAAAAGTGTTGCTCACGGGGCTTCTGCTGAGTACAATGCCAGGCCTTCTTGCCCCCGCGGAACTCACCTGTGTGCACTGTCATTTTCAGGATGTGAAAGTGCTGTGTAAGCAGCTCGCAGTGTCTGAGCTGGAACAGGTGGACATCCCCCTGGGCGCTGGTCTGGATGACATCCTTGAGGCGATCAGAATTCACTGGGAGAGAGATGTCGAAAAGAACTGGGTGGAAGCAGGAGCCTTGCTCCAAGCCAAGGTGAGAGGTAGGGCCCGCACCTCCACTCTGCCCTGTGCGGAAGGAGGCCAAGCAAAGAGGAAAAGCAGTCAACGTGCAAAGGAACAAGTGCAGCTGTCTAGGTCCCGGTGGACATACAGGAAATGCGTATTAAGTAACAGTTTGTTGTTTGCCTGTCTAAAAACAGAAAATGTTTAAAATGGTAATAATCCTATCCTATATGATAAAAGGCTGATATGCAAATCATCCCCTCGACCAGGAGTTCAACCAGGGGGTGGGGCCGGCCGGCCAACTGTCCACAGCCCCTCCCCCTGGCCAGCCCAGCCCCAATCGTCTTGATTGGGGCAGGGCAGGGCGGATCCCACCCATGCACGAGTTCATGCACCGGGCCTCTAATAATAATAATAATAATAATAATAATGCTGGCGAGTGTGTAGAGAAGAAGGTTTTCACCTATATTTCAGGAAGCACTTCTATGACCGGTTTGCATAAGGAATTTGATGATATGAATCAAGAGTCTTCTAATGCCCCTACCTACCAGTTGAATAACCTGGACACTGTCCTAAAGATATCATTGAAAATACAAGCAAAGTGTACATCCAAGTGTACTCACTGATGCATTCATTACAAGAGTGAAAACGTTTGGGGAAGTAACACATAAATGTTTAATAATAGGATAAAGACCAACCGTGCAATGACATATCAGACAGTTATGGGAAGTAATATTTGTGAAGCATTTATAACAACCTGGGAAATGCCCATGCAATAAGCGTGAGAGTGCAGAGTGGTGCATACCAGGGCCAAAAACGTTTTCTGCAAAGAACAAGACAGTAAATATTTAGGTTTGTGGGCCAAATGGCCTCTGTCGCAATATTCAGTTCTGCCACTGTGATGTGAAAGCTGCTGGAGACAATTAGTAACAAGTGCGCATGGCTGTGTGCCAATAAAACTTTATTTACAGAAACAGGAGGTGGGCTGGGCTTGGCCTGCGGGCTACAGTATGCCAACCCTGGTGCATACAGTAGGGTAAAGCATTCAAACAGAGAAAGTAGGCATCACGGAAAGATTAGAAAGAAAACACTACAGCATTCATGGTGCTAGTGGTGGTTGTCTTGGAGTGAGGGGCCTGTCGAACACTTTGAAACGTTTCTCTTGCTTTTGAGTATTTCTTGAGTTTTTCTTAAGTAGTATGAATTCTATTCAGGGAAGAAAATGGTTTTTATTAAACTTCATAAATAATAAAGGCATTAACCGGAAATAGAATGCACAGGGTTTCTTCCTTCTCCATCCCCTACCCATGGATGACTGGGATTTTGAGGCAGAGGATGGAAAGGGCAGAAGAGGGAGGACAGCGTGAAGGAAGTGTGAAAACTAAGGCAGCCACGTGAGGCAAGGCGAGAGGGCTGCTCCTGTGTCCTGGGTTGCCATGGAGCGCTTCTCAACCCTGGCTGCACAGAACTATGTCAGAGCATTTTCAAAAGGGCCCACACCCAGGCCCATCCAGGACCAAGTAAATCAGGAGGAGGAGAGGGACTTTGTGGTTCTCTCTCTCTCTCTCTCTCTCTCTCTCTCTCTCCCCCACCCCCCACCTTTTTTTATTGATTTCAGAAAGAGGAAGGGAGAGGGATAGAGAGAAAGAAACATCAATGATGGGAGAGAATCATTGATTGGCTGCCTCCTGCACGCCCCCTACTAGGAATCGAGCCTGAAACCTGGGCATGTGTCCTGACCTGGAATAGAACCCTGACCTCCTAGTTCATGGGTCAACACTCAACCACTAAGCCACACACACCAGCCGGGTTCTTTCTTTCTTCCTCTCTCTCTCTCTCTCTCTCTCTCTCTCTCTCTCTCTCTCTCTCTCCCCCTTTCTCTCTCTCTCCCTCCCTCCCTCTCTCAGAGAGGGAGGAGAGAGGGAGGAAAAGAGAGAGAGCAATTTGAGAGCAATTTGTTGTTCCACCCAGGCATGCATTCACTAGTTGATTCCTGTGTGTACCTAAACCAGAGATCGAACCCACAACCTTGGTGCTTTGCGACGGTGCTCCAACCAGCTGAGCTACCCAGCCAGGGCTTTGTAGTTCTGTAAGCTGGGTGATTTCATGCACAGCCAGGGTTGAGGACCATGAGATATATAAAACCCACCACAAGAAAACCAGGAGGACCTTTTACCTTCTGTCTTCTCCTGCCCCCTCCACTCCCCTGCCCCAGGGACCAATAGCAACACTCCCAGCTGGGTCTTCACCAATTCTGGAGCCTCAATGTTCTCCAGCCCAGAAAACACCCTCCATTTCCCAGCCCATCCCCCCCCCCCACCCCCCTTCAACAGCTTCTCCTCTTTCTAACCTTTAGTTCCCTGACCAGGTCACACCAAACACTTTTATGGCAAATAGTGCCTGATAACCTCACAAAATGCAGCCCCACCCCAACCTGGTGAGAGGTGAACAACTCAGAGGGACAGCACAACCCAACCGTGGATTCGATTTGGGTCCATTCCTTCTTCTTTAGGAGAGTCCTGAATATTATCACTAATGACCTTAGAAACCATCCATTTCCATTCCCTCACCTTACAGGTGGGGAAACGGAGGCCCAGGGCGGGCAGGGGGCGCTCGCTGGGTGTGTGGGTGCGGCTTCATTTAGTTCTCCCGGCTCAGCTCTCGGTCCAGGGACCATTTCTCTGCCGGGGGGCTGTTATTTCTCCAGGGCTCTGCCCCCAAAGCTAAATCCCGGTGGCCCAGCAGTTTGCAGCCTTGCTTCCGTCCCAACACTCCTGGGGTGCACACGCACTGTAGTGTTTCTTTCTTTGCGAAAGGGGGGAGGGGCGTTGTAATGAACAGGAATGTATCCTGCCTAGTGTAAAAAAGAAAAAGAAAAAACTTGGTCATTACTGTCCACCCCTCACCCTCTTGAGAGTCATCACCAGCCCAACAGTAATTCAAACATTCATTCTGAACCGACCCATTCGCGTCTTTTTTTTTTTTTTTTTTTTTCTCCTCTTTTTTTTTTTTTTATTATTAGTTAAGGTATTACAAATGTGTCCTCATCCCCCCCCCCATTAACCCCCAACCTCCCCCCCACACACACTCATGCTCCCATCCCCCTGTTGTCCATGTCCATTGGTATGGCTTATATACATGTATACAAGTCCTTCGGTTGATCTCTTCCCCTTACCCCCGCCCTCCCCTACTTTCCTTCTGGGGATTGATAGCCTGATTGCTGTTTCTCAGTCTTTGAGTCTGTCCCTTTTCATCAGTCTATGTTGTTCTCTATAATCCACAAATGAGTGAGATCATGTGGTATTTATCTTTCTCTGACTGGCTTATTTCACTTAGCATAATGCTCTCCAGTTCCATCCATGCTGTTGCAAAAGGCAAGAGTTCCTTTTTTTTTACCGCAGCATAGTATTCCATTGTGTATATGTACCACAGTTTTCTAATCCATTCATCTGTTGATGGGCACTTAGGCTGTTTCCAAATCTTAGCTATGGTGAATTGTGCTGCTATGAACATAGGGGTGCATATATCCTTTCTGATTGGCGTTTCTGGTTTCTTGGGATATATTCCTAGTAGTGGGATCACTGGGTCAAATGGGAGTTCCATTTTTAGTCTTCTGAGGTAGCTCCATACTGTTCTCCACAGTGGCTGCACCAGTCTGCATTCCCACCAGCAGTGCAGAAGGGTTCCTTTTTCTCCACATCCTCTCCAACACTTGTTGTTTGTTGATTTGTTGATGATAGCCATTCTGACAGGTGTGAGATGATAACGCATTGTCGTTTTGATTTGCATCTCTCGTATAATTAGTGACTTTGAGCAGGTTTTCATATGTCTTTCGGCCTTCTGTATGTCCTCTTTCGAAAAGTGTCTATCTAGGTCCGTTGCCCATCTTTTTATTGGATTGTTTATCTTCCTTTTGTTAAGTTTCATGAGATCCCTGTAAATGTTGGAAATTAAACCCTTATCGGTGGTATCATTGGCAAATATGTTCTCCCATGTAGTGGGTCTTCTTGTTGTTTTGTTGATGGTTTCCTTTGCTGTGCAAAAGCTTTTTATTTTGATGTAGTCCCATTTGTTTATTTTCTCTTTAGTTTCCATTGCCCTAGGAGCATTATCAGAGAAGAAATTTCTTCGGCATATGTTTGCGATTTCGCTGCCTGTGGATTCCTCTAGTATTTTTATGGTTTCCCGTCTTATGTTTAAGTCTTTTATCCATTTTGAGTTTATTTTTGTGTATGGTGTGAGTTGGTGATCTAGTTTCATCCTTTTGCATGTATCTGTCCAATTTTCCCAACACCATTTATTGAAAAGACTGTCTTGACTCCATTGTATGTTCTTGCCTCCTTTGTCGAATATTAATTGGGCATAGTGGTTTGGGTTGATTTCTGGGGTCTCTATTCTATTCCATTGATCTATATGTCTGTTCTTGTGCCAGTACCAAGCTGTTTTAAGAACAGTGGCTTTGTAATACAGTTTGATATCTGGTATTGAGATCCCACCTACTTTGTTCTTTCTGAGGATTGTTGCAGCTATTCGGGGTCTTTTTTTATTCCAGATGAATTTTTGGAACGTTCGTTCTAGATCTGTGAAATATGCTGTTGGTAATTTAATGGGGATTGCATTGAATCTATAAATTGCTTTGGGTAGTATGGACATTTTGATGATGTTGATTCTGCCAATCCATGAACACGGTATATTCTTCCATCTGTTTATGTCTTCCTCTATCTCTTTTTTCAGTGTCCTGTAGTTTTCAGCATATAAGTCTTTTACCTCCTTAGTTAAGTTTATTCCTAGGTATTTTAATTTTTTTGGTGCAATGGTAAATGGGATTGCATTCGCGTCTTTTTTATTGAGGCGTCTGAAAGCCGCATCTCAGAGAACACACACAGCACTTGTGTTCGTTCGGCCGATGCTGCCTGGGCCTCTGGCAGAGAGGCTGAGCTCTGAAAATATTTGCAGAAGGAGCGAATTCCTCTGGCCGTCAACAGAGATCAGAACTGACAGCCAGAAGTCCTCCAGTCAATAGTTTTGTCA